CTTTATGCTGAGAGTACTAGGTTTTGTTGGCATAAGGACTGCTCTCCCAGCAAGACAGTGGGCTAAAGCCACAGAAGCAAACAAACTGCAGAGTCTTTACAAAGTCTTTACAAACTAAGAGTAGATGAGCTCTGCTTTGGGAGCTCTCACTGGAAAGAGAAACAACCCTGGAGACCCAGCTGCCATAGGAAGCACAACCTCCACAGACACTGCTTTAGGAGTGAGGCAGCACCCCACTTTTCCACAGACCCAAAGGCAGATTTCTTTTTTCTTTTGCAAAGTCAAAAGCAGGAGCAAACCACACGAAAATGATGTCACACGAGGTTCCCAACCCACTAGTCTGTGGAGGCAGTTGCAATATACTTAACTGCAACAGAGTAATAGACTCTTCTCATAGTATTTTGTCAGTTGTAGTCTCAGCTGGAATACAGTTGTGCACAGAAAACCACAAAACCAAAAGAATAATGAAAATAAGTTAGTACTTTAAAAGGAGCTAAAAACAAACAATCTGAATATGCAGTACCTTTTTAATTTAAATGGCTACAACCGCACCAATAAGTCTACTACAGCCTCTTGACTGATAGTGGGGTTCGGCACAACACCAAGTGTTATATTATGATTGTGAAGCTGCAAAACAACAGGAAGCTAAATACATACAGCAAGGCAAGCTCATGTTTAAAAGCAAAGCCCTAGCAACAGGGCTATATACATACAGAATTTAAATAAGGGAAAATATCCTAGATTTCCAAGAAGTATATTAACAAAATTATAACTGTTTTGGTTTGATAGACTTCAAGTCTATCATGTACTTCAACCATGATTGCTTTGCAGTAAGCAGTGCAAGAGGATTTTGCTCCCACTGGGAGCTCCTTGTTTATCAGAGAGATCTGACAAGCAGCTCAAGTACAAGTCACCACTTTCATCAGACAAAGCTATAACATATGGAACAAGCCAAGAAAGACAAACCTTTCCACAAATAGATCAGCAAACAGATCCCAACTTCAATCAAGCAACAAAATCCTCCCTAGACTTGCCACACTGAACAGTCTGCTTCCCACTGCTGCATACCACACATACAAATTGATGCTATTTGGCATTCCTTTCTTTCCCCCCAGTCTACGAAGAGAAAACTGCTGGCAAAAGAAACTATTTCCCGCAATAGCATCCCTCACTGTACGGCCTACAAAGGATCACACAAGTCCTGACAGGTCACCGTCTGTAGTACCTTATTCTATTTGTACCACTGAGATGGTCTTTTCCTCCTCTATTAGGATAGTACAAATCATTTCCACCTACATGGGACACAGGCTCTTATGGAAGTAAACAAATGGACAAAAAACAACTTTGCTGATTTATGGGATTAAGGGAGACAAAGAAACTATGGAAAATGAAAGACAAGGAATGGTCACAGAAAATAAGGAAAAGGGAATAATGTCTGAAAAGCAAAAACTCATCATTCTCCCACAAACTGTGGGAGATTTGGTGGATATATGGGTTACAGGCAAGACATGGACATTTGCAGTGCTGTGAAAAGCCCTTTTTCTGTTCTTGAAGAGAAGAGGAAAGAACTGGGGTCTTTAACCTGGACTAAGTGAATTCCTTAGTATTCTTCATCCTCTCCCTTCTAGTTCTGAAGGCAATATAAAATGAATAAGTAAATAAATGGCATTCAAGACCATACACAGTTGTGATACGAACTGCTAAAAGAGAGAGAAAGAAACTGCAGCCTTGCAGTTGCATGATGTAAGACACCTGTAACACTAAACAACACTAATAAGGAGGCAGTGATTCCTAACAACTGTCCTTTAAAGACCACAAGCCTCCTTTAAAGATTAAAGGTTTGAGGAAGAGGTATTGAGTAAGGTTCTTTAGTTTGTGTCGTGACAAGGAATTAGATGGATAAGCTCTCCAGCTTTTTAAAAAATGAATCATTTAAAACTTCTGCTTTGCACCTGCAGTTTTGACAAAGCTTTTTTTTTTGTCTCAGAGGTACCTTATCTTTAATATTGATTCTTAAAATAATAATTTCTAATGATGCAGCCAAAATAAGATGAAAAATTACTTACATATTCATTTATTGGGATATATATTTTGTGTTTCCATTTGCATTAATACAAACATCTTTCACATACCCTTCATTTTAAATACAGCTTTTTCCCAACTAAAAGTTGCACTTCTGAGGGTTGAGTTATTGGAATGAATATGCTGCTGGACAGGTATCTTTAATATTGATTCTTAAAATAATAATTTCTAATGATGCAGCCAAAAGAAGATGAAAAAATACTTACATATTCATTTATTGGGATATATATTTTGTGTTTCCATTTGCATTAAGTTAATACAAACATCTTTCACACATACTTCATCTTAAATGCAGCTTTTTCCTAACTAAAAGGTACACTTCTGAGGGTTGAGTTATCAAAATGAATATGCTGCTGGACAGGTTTTATTCTAGGGATAGTTTTAATAGACTTGGCAAAATGTCTCATTTTAAAAGCACATCTGAACTTCTGCTTTGCATCTGCAGTTTTGACAGAGCCTTTTTAAAAATATATATATCAACAAATAAAGCTGGATAATAAAATAGTATTTTTAAGTGAACTTGACTAAATGCCTCACAAAAGAGCTAATGGAAACCTCTATTCTTGTACCTCTGCTTACCATGTATTTTATACAGCATACAAGCTGTTCATACAAGCAAGTTCATGCTCATACTTTTCCCATATCTTCCAAACACCAGTTTGGGATGTTTTAGATAGAAATAACTAATAAGAGTTATGTCAGCCAGCCAGCCCTAATTTTGGGACCCCCAGTACAGGCAAAATAACAACAAAGTGGAGAGAGACCAGCAGAAGGCTAACAAAATGGTCAAGGGTTTAGAGAACATGTTGTAAAAGCAAAAGCCTAGGAAATTGGCTTCCTTAAGCCTAGAAAGACCTCTATTCTTGTACCTCTGCTTACCACGTATTTTATACAGCATGCAAGCTGTATAGATAGTTTATGCTCATACTTTTCCCAAATCTTCCAAACACCATTTTGGGATGTTTTAGACAGAAATAACTAATAAGAGTTACATCAGCCAGCTAGCCCTAATTTCGGGACCCCCAGTACAGGCAAAATAACAACAAACTGGAGAGAGACCAGCAGAAGGCTACCAAAATGGTCAGGGGTTTAGAGCACATGTTGTAAAAGCAAAGGCCTAGGAAACTGGTTTCCTTAAGCCTAGAAAAGACTAAGTGATAGACCCCTCTTTTCTTTATCATATATATACTATTTTTGCATAGTTGCCTCTCAAAATATTCCTGAAGTACCATTTCAAAGGAGGTCAGCTGCTATTGGCAAGATCTTAAGGGGTTCTGTATCTGCAGTCGAGTCAGAGCTGCAGATATATCCCAGCTCTTAATAACATGGTTACGAAGGGATTTAAAAAAAAAAAAAAAAAAAGGAAAGGAAAAAGTCTTAAAGTTACTTTTAATTGCCTAGTTCTGCCTTACTCTCCAGACTAAGTCTGAATTAAAGGCCCAAAAACACAGGCCCCAAAATCACAAGGATATACAAGCCTTCTCAGTGTTCACAAAGGGTTCAATTCTCCCCATTTCCCACCTATGCCAGTTTCTTTCACTAAAACACAATAGCCTAACACTAAGCTCTGACATGAAAAGCAACACTTGTACACTTCCTTTGCAAAGCACCTCAAGACGTCTTCATAAAGAACAAATATAAGCATTGTATATGTTTACCACCAGGATAAACAATAATTTAACCTTAACCCATAACCCGAAGAGAAGCATCTGGGGAAAAGAAGTTATTTTATCCCTCTCCTTTTACAGTACTGCATGACAGGATGATAGGAGATGCTCCTGTAATTACACAGGCACCACTCTTCAAGTACCCTGGATATTTTTTCCTCCAAAGCCTCTACCAAATATGTAAAGTCTTTAAGGCCTTCAGAACTGCCAAACACTTCACTTCGGTAACTTCTACCGGCAGACACACAGCTCCCCCGTTTTGCAGAGGTGCGACCACATTCCCTTAAATAAGCGGTTAGGAAGCCCGACGATTATGGGCGGAGAGGAGGCGGGGGCGCGGGCTGCCAAGCTCTGAACTCAAAGGAGGCAGGTGGAAAAGCAGAAACCAGGGAAAAGCGAGTGGGAGACACAGAAAGGGAAAATCAAGTCGGGGCGGAGGGAGGGGGGGTTAGGAAAAAAATATTGCAAAGGGAGAGTACGGAAGGAAGGGGCTGCGGGGAGCTCAGAGGCGGCCTCCGGGCCGGCACGAGGAGGGGGTGTGCGGGACGAGTACCTG